AGGCTGGATTCGCTTCTAAGAGGTCCTTTCAGCTGCCGAGGAAGAGGTAAACTAAGAGGAGAGGCCACGCATGTTCCAGGTGAGGGAGGAAGAAGCCCACGGCTAGAGCTGGGTGGGGGGTCTGAGAGCTTACCAGGTGCAGCCCGATAGGACAGCCACAGGCCACACGTGGCTCCTGAGCACCTGAGTCGCAGCAAATGCTACTGAGGAATGGATTCCTACTTGCATTTCATCTCGACTCATCGAATTTAAAAAGCCACATGTGGCCAGTGGCTACTGAAGTGGGCGGCACAGTCCTAACCTGTCACCTGAGCGAAAATGCCAGAAACTCGAAAATACTCTTAGCAGTGGAGGGCTGGAGGGGAAAACAGGATCTAATTACTGCTTTTCCCAGAAATCCCCAGGCCCTGGGAGCCCTGGTTCCCCAGCAGTGGGGACAGGGAGGGGGCAGAGCAGTGGATACAGATCACAAGCTGTGTGCAGAGGAGAGGCAGAAGTTGTCCCTGTTGAGGAGAAATAAGGAATCAAGACAAGACCCTGGCGCTGGGGGGGTCACCAGGATCTCCTCCCAGTCGGCTGAGATCTCCTCCCACTCCTCCCAGAGGCCCCTGCTCCTTTGCTCTCCAGAGCCCTGGGGACGGTGTCTTCAGGCTTTCTCCTCCAAGCCCCTGCGGTGGTAAGGAACGGGGTCCCCCTTGCCAATCCAGGAGCCTGGACATGCCACACTATTCCCTGATCCCAAGACCCCTGGATTATGTGCAGACAGTCGGGATGAGAGCAAAGGGAAGGAGCAGGGGAAGGACAGAAAGGGAAGGGGGGAAAGGAAAAGGAACAGCACAGCGACTCCGGAAGGAGAGCTCCCATCACACGCTGCTTCAAACCTCTGCCCTCCCTTCCGGGATGCGGGCCACCCGCCGCTGTGTGCGACAGCACTAGTCCCCCCTCAACATCTCCTAGCCCGCTTCCCGGTCCACGCACTGAGGCCGTGAACAGCCTCCTCCCCGGGCGGTGGGAAAATGAAACAAGATGCCACACATAAACACCTGGGACCCACCTGGCCCCGACAGGTGCTGGGCAAATGCGGGTGCCCATCCCCCCATCTCTCCTCCCACTCTGCTGGGGCTTGTTCATTGCCACCATCTAGAAGTAAAAACTGCCCGTTCAGATGCTGGGTCCACCCCTTCCCCCACTCCCCTCACTGGACCTGTATCGATCTACAAAATGGAAACAACCACAAGAACACAGGGTTGTTCTGAGGCTCAAGAGAGGCAGACACTGGGATTGGGGCTGAAATCTGTAATCCCACCCTGCCTCACATCAAGGTCCCAGGCCACCTCCTCCATGCAGTGCTCCAGTGATCCTCCTTCCTGGGCCCCTGACCTGACCCTGTCAATTAGCTTTCAGCCTCAGGAGCCTGGCTTCCTAATGCCACCCCCTTTCCTTGAGGAGAGTGTCACCACATTCGCAACACTCCCCAACTGGCCTCTCCTAAGCACGGTGACATGCACGTATAAAGAAAAGGAAGTCATCCACCTTGCCTGGGACCCGAGGATCTCCCTCTAGCCTCCCCCACCCCAGGCTGTCTTAACAATTAAGACTCAAGGCAGTCCATCAGGTCCAAGCCCCTCATGTTTCACGGGCAAACCGAGGTCACCCGGGGACGGGGACAGGGCCAGGACCCAGGGGCTCGCACCCCTCAGCGGTGATTCACTTCTTCCCTCCTAACCAGTGATGGGAGAGCGTGGATGCCGTTCAGGGTGGGAAAGGAAAATAACATCAGGAGGCGGGTGCTCTGGCTCAGGCAAGGAGCATATCCCAAGCTGATGGTCCTGAAGGTCCGTGACTTTGGGGACCAGGAACCTGCTGGCAAAAACACCAGCGGTGATGCCCATCACCCAGCCAGATAGTCCCGAGACCTTCCCACAGATGAGCCGATTTAACACTACGACCACCTTGGATCAAAGAGGCTATAAAAACAAATGATGATACACCAGGATGGAGATAAAGACAACAGTCGTCCCCAGAAGGCACAGTGGGTTCCCAGTATCTGCAACACAGTCTGAACGGGTGCCATCCCCGAGAACTTCCAGCCACGATGGAAGTCCCCGACGTCCCTGTAGTCCAACATGACAGCCACGGCCACGTGTGGCTACTGAGCACCTGAGTGCTACTGAGGAACTGAATTTTGACTTATATTTCATCTCGACTCACTGAATTTTAAAAAATCACATGTAACCAGAGGCTCCTAGAGTGGGCAGTGTAGTTCTGACCTGTCCCCTGAGCTGAAATGTCAGAAACAAAGAAAATCCTTCTAGAGCATAGTGGAGCGTTGGGAGAAAAAACAGGATCTAATTACCACAAGAGACACTCCAGCCCCATGAACCCCTGTTCCCCATCAGCAGCGTAGTGGGGAAAGGACAAGGGGCTCTACAAGCCCTTCCAGCTCTGACCACTTGCAAGGTCATTCCACTGGAAACGCGAGGGGCCTGCGGTTTCCCTCTGGGGCCTCTGCTAGCCCTGACTACTTGTCCGGATCCTGGCACAACGCCCCCAGCAGACGGTGAGCTCACTGAGGGCAGGCAGCAGGCGGGACTTCGCTCTGCAGTCCCAGCACACAGAAAAGTGTGTGGGCACAGCAGAGAGGGAAGGCCAGCGCTAATGACAGGACCCCTTCCCGAGGTCACCGTGCAGCTGGCACAGGCAGGGGGTGCTCGCGCATCACTGCCCAGCGAGGTGGTAAGGCGGTCTCCCCTGCCCCTGCGGAAACCACAGCTCCAAAGCGGGGCAGAGTACTTGGCCTGCAGGATTCCGTAAGTGGCTGCTCACCTATTCCTAAAGCATTCCGGGTCCCTCCTGAGCCGCAGTCGGCCTGGGCTCAAGAAAATGGCCCCTAAGACCCAAGGGCTGGGGCCACCTCAACACCTGTGCCATGTTAAGCTGTCAATTTCATGGCAGAAAAAACCAAGGCTCAGCCATGCCCAAGGGCAACGACTTACTGGAACTGGCCCTTCCTGCCGGCAGAGGCCACTGGCAATGACTTCCAGGGCCCTTTTCTCTGATTGGAAGAATCTTCATGACAGACTTTGGAGACCAGTGTTCCACCCCCTTGCTCATTTCACGTAACAAACTTGAGGAACAGTGGGATGGGGAGAACAAAAGCCTTCAGAGGCACTGATAAGAGCCTGGAAAGGCCATAAGGGCCGCTGGGAGATTTTTTTAAGCTTTAAAGAGGTGGCTCTCTAGGGTTCTTGCAGGGATCTCACACAAGGCACGAGGGTCCCAAGGCCACCGCTGGGTTTTCTGTCACCAAGGGAAAGAGCCCCGTTTATTCTTCTTAATAAAAAGTTCAGAGTGTGCTTTCACCTGTCTTTGAAAGATGCAAGTTACCAACCAGATCTGAGCTTGGGTCATCTAGAAAACCTCCTTAAACTAACACCTCATTCCTCATCGAGGTGCCCAGAAAGGTCCCTGCAGAACCACACCAGGGTCCCCAATGGAGGGTCCCTCTAAAGCAGCCCCACGAGCCCCAAGTACACGGCTTTCCAAGTGAGGCTTCTGGCCCATGCCTCCTCCCCCACCAGCTTCTTAACTTCATAAAATGGAGGAAGGTACACGAAGCAGAACCCCTCATCTGCAATTCAAAAATCCTAAAGCTCTCCCCAAACCAAGTTTTTCACAATTCATTTGGAGGCAAACCCCGTCCTAAACTGACATGAGATGATCTTTAGTCTTGATTGCTCTCACTTTTAACGTGGGTCCAAAGCACAATCCCACACCCAGCTGGGGGTCTCAGCTGTATGAGATCTATGGCTCGAAGGAAAAAGGCTGAGTCCCCCATACCCATGGGGCTGTGGGGCTGTGGGCATCTCCTCCCTTTCCCCCTTCCAAGGACAGTCTGGCAGCACCTTCAGACTTCTTCAAGCTCCCCTCCCCCACCAACACGCGTCCCACCTGCCGCTGAGGCCCCATCCTCAGCCTTCCTCAGAGGATCAGGCCTACCCCTCAGGAGTCTAGGACCCTGCAACAGCTGGGAGACCTTGGCAATCAGCTCTTCCAGCAAGCTGCACTGTTGCTGAGCCAACATGACCTCCAGGCTGGCCACTGTCTAGACCAGTTAGAGACACACTGCCCAGTCTGGATCCAAGTGTCTCCCTCCTTCTCCAACACAGTGGCAACAAGGGAAACCCTCAGGTGTGCTCCAAGAACAGAGAAGTGGCCTCTTTCCCCTGCAAACCTCAGAAGAGACACCACATGATGATCTCGTACATCAAGTCCTGGGCAGACCAGCCTGGCTTTAAATCCCAGCTCTGCCAGTTATCAGCTGTGTGACCTTGGGCAAACCACTGCCCCTCTCTGAGCCTCACTGCCCAGACTGTAAAGTGAAGATGGCCATCTCCACCTTACATGACTATCATGAGTATGAGGTCAGTTAATGCTGGGAAATATAAATGCCCTGGGTCCTGCCTGAAGCTACCTGAGTGATGGGGGCCTGCCCTGAAACAAGGGAACACCGGGCATGCATGGCTGATCCCATCCCCCACCCGGTGCCCACGCAGAAAATGAGGGACGCCCTGATGCCCGTTTTAGCCCCCTTCCCAAACGATCACCAAGACTTTGCACTCATCAAAAGCTGAACCTGGCCCAGGAACAGAGAGGTTAAGTGACTGCCCAAGGTCACACAGCCAGCTGGGTAACGGGAGGGGCTGCAGGGTGGGGTAGCAAGCCGCCCTGGGCCTGTCCTGGAAGCTCCGGCCTAACAGGCTCCATCCCCAGGACACACGGTCCAGTCCAGCCGTGGACAGCCGGGCCCACCTCGGAAGGTCTCCGGCCTTGGTTTTCCCAAATGCCCGCGACCCCCCACCCACACCCCCCCACCCCCCCCCCCCCCCCCCCGCCCGGTGATGTTCCGTCCCCTCCCCCCGCCCTCCCCGCCCCCGACGGGAGGCTCCTGGCGCCCGCGCGCCGCAGAGCCGGGCGGGCGGGGTCTGCGCGGGGCTCACCGGACTTGGGGTAGGTGACGATCCACACGTCGCTGGGCCGCACCGGGAAGTTGGCGATCTCCTCCATCTTCCCGCGGCAGAAGGGCGGCAGCCGCACGCCGTGGAACTCGAAGTACTTGCTCTCGAACTCGCCCGGGGTGCTGGGGGTCTCGGCCTCGCTCTCCGCCATGCCGCCGCCGCCGCCCGGCCCCGGAGCCGCGCCGCCCGCTCCCCGCCCGCCCCGCGCCCGCGCCCGCGCCCGTACCCCGCGCCCGCGCCCGCTCCCCGCACGCGCCCGCGCCCGCAGCCCGCCGCCCGCCGCCCCAGCCGCCGCGCAGCGCTCCGCAGGCGTGACGTCACGGCGCCGCCCGGGCCGCGCCCCGCCCCGCCTGCGCTCCGCGGTATGACGTCATGGCCCCGCCCGCCGCGCGCCGGCTGCCCTCCGCAGTCGTGACGTCGCGGGGCCTCCGGGCCGGGCCTGCTCCGCACGGAGCCGCGGTTTACCCGCCCTGCGGTGGACCGGACCCCTGGCCGCCGCCACCTTCGCGCCCACAGTCCGCATCCCCCGCCGCCGCGCGTTCATTCATCCACCCGCGGACGCCGTCATTCCGCGAGCGCTCTGCAGGCTCACGAGCGCTCCCGCGAGAAGTGACCTTCAGGGTTCATCTAACAGATATTTAGGGACCCTCTGATCCGTACCAGGCACTGGCCCAGGTTCCCGAGCTACAGCAGGCAAAAACCCGGCTCTCCTGGAGTTTACATTCGTCAGTAACCGAGATAATCTCAGGTGGTGATGGGTGCTACGAATAACACGCTTCGTAATATCCCGCGGGCGGAAGTGGGGGGGTGTTAAATGCAGGTTCCAGGGCCAACCCCGGACCTCAAGAGACAGACTCAGTCGGGATAGTGCCTCCAAATCTGCATTTAATAAGGCACTTTTTTTTTCATTCTGCAATTTGAGAACAAATGATTTCTAAAGGGGTTTTCCATCCAGTCATTCACTCAGCAAACGTGTACTAAGCACCTACCACGTGCTTGGAGCTGGGGGAACACGAAGATGAGAACAGTGGGGTCCCGGTCTAATTCTCCGAGTCTAGATGTCCTCCACTGCGGAAAGGGAATGATAATCTCTACGCCTAGGCGCTATAGCTGGGAGGACGCAGAGACGACTGTACCAGCAAGAATCCTGAGCAAGCAGGACCTACTCCCTCTCTCTCTTGCTCTGGAATGATGTACTTGCATAGAGACACACATGCATGAGCGGGGGAGGGGGGGGCACGGGCCATGTGTACACAGTGGGCAGAAGGAGGAAAGAGGAATTAACGTTGGCTCTGGAGGCTTGTGGGTGTCTTTATCCAAAGGGAAGAGGACAATCCAAGCACCTGAGACATTAACGATTAGGTAACGACACAGATAGCTAGCCAAAGGCTGGAGAAAATGAGCAAATGAAAGAACGATTGCCTGATGTTTCAGATGAGGGCTCTTACTACTGGAGAAGTCAAGGGAGAAGGTTTTGGATTGGAATCTGAGGTACTGACATGAACTTACTATTTTTTTAAATCCCTATTTATGGGGCTCCTGGGTAGCTCAGTGGATTAAAGCCTCTGCCTTCGGCTCAGGTCATGATCCCTGGGGCCTGGGATCGAGCCCCGCATCGGGCTCTCTGCTCGGCGGAGAGCCTGCTTCCCTTCCTCTCTCTCTGCCTGCCTCTTCCTACTTGTGATCTGTCTGTCAAATAAATAAATAAAATCTTAAAAAAAATAAATAAATAAAAAATAAATCCCTATTTATCTTTGCTGAAAAGGCTTTTAGGTACTGGTGTTCCAGTAATAACGAGGCACACCAAGTGTCCAGGTCTTCGGTCCTAAATACTTCCCCACCAAAAGGAACCAGACTCTCTTGGGGTGGGGGAGGGGAGGCAGGGAAACAAGGCCAATTCCAGGGCTGGGGGAAAAAAAAAAAAGTACAAAACGAGTCTAAAGCATCTTCTTGGCCAAAAAATAAAGTGTTAAAAAATGATAGGATAGGTCAAAAGGATACGGGGGCTAGACTGAAAGGCCTAATTAGAAAAACTCTGTACATATTAGACAAAAAAATAGGAAATAGCTTGGGACACCTGGGTGGCTCAGTCAGTTAAGTGTCTGCCTTCGGCTCAGGGTCCTGGGATCGAGCCACATGTCCGACTCCCTGCTCAGTAAGAAGCCTGCTTCTCCCTCTCCCTGCCGCTCCCCCTGCTTGTTCTATCTCTTTCTCTCTCTGTAAAACAAATAAAATCTTAAAAAAAAAAAAATGGAAACAGCTCAAATGTCTATCAGTGGTAGAATGAATAAATTGTGATATACCCACACAATGAAAATACTTACTACATAGCAATAAAAAAAGTACACATACACATATGTGTGTGCATGTTGGTGATAGCGTAAGTTCATTGTTTTGCTAGCTTTCTATTACTGCTGTAACAAATTACCACAAACTCAGTGACTTAAGACAAAAGTTTATTACCTTATTGTTCTGTAGGCCAGACATCTAATGAGAGTGTCACTATGCTAAAATCCAGAAGTTTCTTTCTGGAGACTCTAGGGATGGAATCATTGTTTTGCCTTTTCTAGCCTCTAGAGGCCACCGCACTCCTTGGCTTGTGGCCCCTTTCTCCATCTTCAAAGGCAGCAATGGTAGGTCTAGTCTTGCTCACATTATATTACTCTGACATTGACTCTTCTTTTATGTCCCTCTTCCACTTTTAAGGACCCTTGTAATTACCTTGGACCCACTCAACAATCCAGGATAATCTATATTAAGGTCAGCCAACTAGCACCTGTAATTCCATCTGCAACTTTAATTCCCTTTGACATGTAACAAAACATATTCATGGGTTCTGGGGATTAGGGTGTGGACACAGTGGGGGGACACAGTTGGGGAGACACAGTGTTATTCTGCCTACTTCGGTTATATTACTTGAAACTTCTCTATGGGTTCAGATTTTTTAAGAGTAAAAATCCGAAGAAAAACCTTTAAAATAGCTAACCTTGAGGATTCTACCCAAAAAGCTATTAGGATTAATGAGTTTATTGAGATCGCAGGATACAAGGTCAAAAAGCAAAAAACAATTCTATTTCTACATACTACCAACAAACAATTGGAAATTGAAATTTTAAAAATTGAAATTTTAAAAATATAATTTGCAGTAGCATCAGAAAACATTAAATGACTTAGAAATATATTTAAGAAAATATGTGCGAAATTTGTATGATGAAAGCTACAAGACATTGATGAGAGAAATTAAGGAGAACCTAAAGGAATGAAGACATATACCCTGTTCATGGGTTGGGAGTCTCAACATTGTTAAGACACCCATTCTGGGACACCTGTGTGGCTCAGTCGTTAAGCCTCTGCCTCTGGCTCAGGTCATGATCCCAGGGTCCTGGGATCAAGCCCCACATCAGGTTTCTTGCTCGACGTGAAGTCTGCTTCTTCCTTTCCCTTTCCCTCTGCTTGTGTTCCCTCTCTTGCTGTCTCTATCTCTCTCTGTCAAATAAATAAACAGACTTTTAAGACTCCCATTCTCCTCAGATTCATCTGTAGAGTCTGTACAGTCCCAGGCAAAATTCCAATGGCGTCTCTTGTACAAATTAGCAAGTTGGTTCTAAAATCTCTATGGGAAAACAAAGAACCTAGAATACTTAAAACAACCTTGAAAATGAATAGTGAATTTGGAAGCTGATTTCAGGACTTACTACAAGGCTTTTTACCATAAGGCTATAAATCAAGACAGTATGGGATTGGCATAAGCACGGACATATAGATAAATGGAACAGGATGGAAAGCCCAGAAATAGACACACACATACATGATTGATTTTTTACAAAGATATCCTTAAGGAGCAGAAAACAGAAATTTCTTAGGAGCCCAAACTGTCCACCAAGGCCTGGTCTACCCCATGGGTAGTGAAGGCCCCATCTCTGGAGGTGTGTAAGAGACTGGATAACCTTGTGTCCTGAACAGACCTCTCCCACGAAGTTGGATGCAGAAGTTCTCTGTCTCTGATCCCCAAGGCTGCGGAGGCAGAGAGAAGCGGCTGTGGGTTGCTGTCCGTGGTGCTGAACGCTCACAGTGCACCAGATCCTACTGCCCTCCGATTTCACATCGGGGGCTCCGATAGCCATTACTCCCCGAGGCCCAGGTTTTGTTAGTTTTGTTTTTTTGTTTTGTCTTGGTTTTTTTTTTTTTAAAGATTTTATTTATTTATTTGATAGAGTAGGCAGAGAGGCAGGCAGAGAGAGAGAGGAGGAAGTAGGCTTCCCTTGGAGCAGAGAGCCTGATGTGGGGCTCCATCCCAGGACACTGGCATCATGACCTGAGCCTAAGGCAGAGGCTTTAACCCACTGAGCCACCCAGGCACCCCGGTTTTGCTAGTTTTATGTTCTGTTTTGATGTATATTTTCCATCTGCATGTGCTATCCAATTTTTAATGTTAAGTACTCGTTTATTACGGAAATGTCAAATGTATACAAAATTAGAGAAAATAGTTATGTGAACTTCTGTGAACTCATCACTCAGTTTCAATGGTTACCAATCCACATTTCATCAGCTCTCAGTCAAGATTATTTTGAAGCAAATCTCATGTATTATTTCATTCATAAGTATTTCACTATAGATCTATAAAATATCTCTAAAAGACAAAAACTCTTCAAAACACAGACTCCCAATATATTAACACAGTGAAAAAATAATGCATGTTCCTTAACATCACCGAATACTTGGTTAATACACAAGATCAGACTTTGGAGGTGGGATTTAAAGTTCAGAGAGGTTGAGGTATCTCCCTGGGGATGCCTGGTGTAGCCAAGATTTAGTGCTGGGGCAGAGGTCACCCCACCAGCATCACATGATCCCAGCCTCAGATTCATACATACCAACCTGCTTGGCACAGATGACAGTAAGCAAGTCTGAGGCACAGACTGCTGGCTCAGGCAGGTATTCACACTCACACAGTGGCCCCTGAGGACACCAGTGCCCAGGAAATAGAGGCTCCAACCATACTCCTGCCCAGAGAGATATCTAGATCAAGATCAGTTACATCAGAATCCCTGCAGAAGACTCTTCAGGTGTTCTTCTAGTGTTCAGACAGAAAGGAACCCTATCTGGGTTTGAATGCTAACCCCACCACTGACTAATTGTGGGACCTGGGACAAGACACTTGACACCTCTGAAGCTCATCTCTGAAGCTCAGATTCCTTGTGGGTTTAACTT